TATTTCCAAACTGGGATGGAGTCTTAAACAGGAGAGGAAGGAGAAATGTATCAAGAATCTCCAACAGGACTAGATTTTGGGAGTGAGGGTGGGGACGTGACAGAAAGATGAATGCTTGGAGACAATGCTAAGTTTACAGGCAGGAAGCCTGAGAAGACCGTGGGTCTGTGGATAGGAATAGGGAGTTGAAAAAAGAATCCATCTTAGGAAGAAAAATGACCCCAGTCTTGGAAATACTGAGTTCAATAACATTGTCCAGCCAGCAGGATGGAGATGAAGGAGGTCAGGATGAGGGACACAGATGTAGGTTTAGGGGAATGAGGTAAAGCCAGACACTGCCAGGGAAAGAAGCCGTGGAAAAAGCAGTGGAGAGAGGATCCTTAGGGAAACTTCCACTTCAGGCCAAGAAAATGATGGTGATAAGCCAGGAGAAGCAGAGAGCAGGGCCATGGAAACCAACAGGGGAACCATGTGAAAAAGGGAGTCTGCTTAACGGGAAGCAGATGGCAGGTTGTACAGACATTGTTGATTTAAACAATTTCTTCACAGCTCTGCTAATTGGAATTGTGTTCTCAGTACAGGCCATCCACCTCAGCCCACAGAAATAACTCCCCCTCCTGTCCTTCTGGGTGTCCACAAAACTGGGTCTTATAAGTATTTTTAGCAAAGTTACCCCCTTACCCCAACAGACTTGCTAATAATTACTTGATTCTAAAACTGTCGTTTGCCCCAACATTACTGAAGGTATGTCCCTATTCATGTTATAGTCATATTTATTTGGTCCTCTCTATGACTAGGTTATTTCATGGGCTCTTCACAGTAACCTTGTAAGACACAGCTGGTGTTGTTTTAACAAAGAAAATGGAGGCTGAAGTTTCAAGTGACTTCTCTCAATCCACAAATTGCAAGTGGTCTCTGTCTACAAAGATTAAGACGAAAACTCAACAGTAGGTTTATGATGTCCGGGTTAATCTAGGAAGGATCCAGAAACCCCCAGAAGACCTTTGGTTTAAGTCAGTGAGTTTTAACGAGTTCAAGGACTTTAAAATATAACCCAATTAAAAACTTGGATATGGATGGACCACTCCATTCCGAATGACTTCAAGTTTGCTTCTAAGGAATGAAGAGAAGCTGTAGGAAAGGTTGAGGAAGCTGGATGTGAGAATGGAATGAGGACGATCTCCCTTTGTGTGATGGAAGAGGTTTGGATCTTCACTGAGGGATGCTGGTGGTTCCATATGTCAAACAGTACAGAGCTTAAAACCCAAGTTCCACTCATGACATTTACTGGTGTAGATGCTCCGGGGCAGCTGTTCAAAGAAGAAACTTGTGGAAAAGCTGGTTAAGGGGACAAGGGATCCCTTGGCTATATTGTCATTTTTTGCAAAACTATGTATAGTTTGTCAAGATGCAACATTAAAAAAGGAGTGAGCAAACCATGGTCTGTGAACACACCGGAGTCCACATGTTGTTGAAAATGCAGGGTATACTCATTTCTTTATGCCTATTGTTGCTTTCACACTATCTGCAGCTGTGAGAGGACACATGGCCCGGAAAGCAAGAAAAAAAAAAAAAGCATACTATGTGGCCCTTCATGAATATGGATTGCTGATTGATGATACGAGAATATAGCAGATAAAAATAGTTTGTAATGTCAACACATAGGAGGCAAAGGACTGCCTTGAGTCCAACTCTAATCTGGACTACAGAGAGACTAAAAGTTGTGGTTGTACACACCTTTAACTGCAGCACTTGCCTTTAATCCCAGCACTCAGGAGGCTGAGACAGGAGTTTGAAGCCACCCTAGTCAACAGGACAGCCAGGGCTACACAGATAAACCCGATCTAGAAAAACAAAACAGGAACCACACAAACAAACAAACCAAAATCCCCTTCAATCAACCAACCAACCAACCAAAAGAATTTGTGAATTACATGTTGACAAAAAGAAACACAGAGCCTGGTGGTGGTGGTGCATGCCTTTAATCCCAGGACTTGGGAGGCAGAAGCAGGCAGATCTCTGAGTTCAAGGCTAGCCTGGTCTATAGACAGCTAAAGTTACACAGAGAAACCCTGTTTTGAAAATAACCATAAAAAGAAACACACACACACACACACACACCAACAAAAACACACAGTAACTACATTTGAGTGGTAAGAATAAAAGTGATAAACATTTTTTAACTTCCTGCATTTTCTTTTTTCCTTTCTTCCTTTCCAAATGTGCACCACCACTCTAAAAACCAGAACCACTTCAGGCTAGGGCTGTAGCTCTGTACTGACACTGAGGTGGAGGTCTTGGTGAACTCAGATACAGAAACACAAGCCAAACATGCAGCCTGCAAGCATGACTACTCACATGCCAGAAGGCTTCCAGAATTCACTCAGCACTTTGCTTGATGACATGTGCACGCAGGTGCACACACTCTAGAAGCTGAAGTCAGACCTAGGGGCTCTTTTGGTTATCTCTAAGACACCTCAACTAAGTTGCAAATGCTGCCTTCAGATGTAGGTTTGTTTGTGCTTCTAGTGGGTTCAAATATAAGAAGCTGTGTTAACGGGTATCATGTAAGTGGTTTAAAGAAAAGGGGGTAATGTTTAGTTTAGCAGACTGGGTAGTTTATAAATGAGTAGGGGGGAAAACAAACAGAATGGATCCTGAAGCCACTTGCTTCTGTGTTCTATTTGTTATTTGCACAACAGGCATGTGTTTACGTATTACATATTTTACCATAATTAACTAACTTACAAAGCACTGGAATCTTTCTTTTCTGCCCTCTAACTAGATCCAACAGGCATGTTAAAGCAAACCACTGTCAACACGTAAAAACAAAAAACACTGAATAGGTGAATAGGGGTTAGGGGTCAGGGTTGGCCTCCATTGAGGTGGTATGATGATGTCACAATGAAGGTTGTAGATACTATACATCTATACAGTGCATCAAGACAGCATGTACAAATGGCACCAAGAGTGAAGACACACGGACCTAAGATACTACCAAATTACCTAATAAGAAAACTTTGAAACAAATTCGGGACAATGCTCAAACAATACTAAAACTCAGTAGGCAGGGCCAGTGATCTGAGCTCAATTCCCGGAATCTTCATGAAGATCCAAGTCCATAACACACAAGAACAAAATATAAAATTTCTCAATACCTGCTTGGGATCATTTTTTTTTTTGTTTGTTTTGTTTTTTCTTGCTAACCCTAAATCACTGTACTGCCCCAAGTTTAAGCCATTCTTTTATGAAGTGTCTTAGCCGGGTCCTATCTATACCTATGACATTTAACACTCTTCGCCAAATTCCAGGCACTGGTTTGGCCGGCAGACTAAAATGGTAAAGGTTTGACCTCCAACCTTTCTCTAGTCAGAAGTGACCCTGAGAAGCAGCCTTATATGTCAGCGCTACAGGGAGCACAGAGCAAGTGCTAGGGAGGAGGGTGTGCTTTTTAAACACATACTCAGTGAAAATCATCTAAGACAGGTAACAACTGAGCAACCTTGAAGGCTTATCTAAAGACTTCATGGGAACAGTGAGTACCCAGGTCCTCAGCACAAGTGGTGTTGTCACAGTGATGGCATCAGCACTTATCTGTGCTTCTGAACTTTGCCTCCAACCAAGTAGTTCTTGAAGGCAAAATCCCTCTTATCTCTCAACTCCTATCATTCAGGATAGAGCTGATGTGTTCTTTTCAACACTGTTTAGAGGACTAAAAACTGAGTATTTGGGTGTGTGTGTGTGTGTGTGTGTGTGTGTGTGTGTGTGTGTGTGTGTTCAGGTCTGATGTGTGCAGGGAGAATGTGCTAACAAATTTTAGCAATTCATTAAAGTCACCACAAAACTGTTCTTTGGAATACAATTACAGTCTTGAAGCTAAATTAATCAGACCCTGTAGCAAAATGCTTCTTAAGACTTAGGGCTGAGTTGCATTGTATATTTACAAGAGATCAATTTGAATAGGACCAGGGCACAGTGACATCCTGTGCCCAAGTGTCTTGAAGGTTTAGTCTCTAAACATGATAAATGGCCCATCCATTTAGGATTTTCATTCCCAGTATCCACATAAAATATCAACTAACTCATGGCAGGTCAGCATTTAAGCACACACTCAGTATGCTACACTTCCTCAATGGCAAACTGAATGCACATTTTGATTTTTACTTTTGTTTGTTAAGTGTTAAAAGAATGGGACTTGCGAGTTTTTCTACCACTCTAAAAAGAAATACAATAATTAACATTTAAATGAGTAAAACTTAGAACAAGGCAATACCTATCAGCTTTGGAACAGACTTAATTAACTAGCCGGTGATGAGACCTCTAAAAATCTAGCCATCAAGTGCAGCTCACCTGCCACAACTGGCTGTGCCTGAGCCATTTTGTTCCCCACTCTGACCATCAGTGTCCATACTGGTCAGGGCAAATGGGCAAAGGTCAGTGAGAAGTCACAGTTTACCAAATAATGAACATTATGATGGAGTCATTGCCTAAGCCTTGAATCAGTCTCTAGATGTCAAAACAAGAGCACCTCATCAAAACCTGGACCCTTCTGAGTATGTATTTTAAAGAGTTGCGGATGGTTCCAAACATTAAACAACATTGGGAAGACAAACTTTCTAGGTTATAGTGAAGTAAGTATTCCTGTTTGCGCAGCTATGCTGATTCTAAATCCCAAAGGGAAAGAGCCATCTGGTTCCAGGGCAGGAAATCCCAACCACAACTGCAGTTAGTGCTCATCGTCACAGTCCTTTTGAAAGGGTCGTTTTGTGGACACGGGAAAATCAGCTATTGCCCGTGGAATCTTCTCAGGAACAGTCTTCTCACCACTGAGAATAAACTCAGCATTTCAAAACTGAGCTTAACCAGACCACTCCTCTACAGACGGCAAATTAAACCATGTAATTCCCGAGAAGGCGTGGAGAGGTTTCAAAGAAATATTTGAGAACATCTGCAAAGAACAAGTTTGACAACCATACAAATAAATGAACACACCAATTCCGTGCACGTTATAAAGATATTTTCCTTTAATTTATCCAAACATTTTACTTTCATGAAGTCATTTATTTCAGAGGGAATATAAGCTTATAATATTAAAGTCAAAACATTGTAATATTTACAAGGTAGCTGACAAGAGAACCTTACTTGTATAAAACTACAAATACTTTACTTATCTCAGCTATTCCCATATAAAAATGACAGGGACAAGTTCACCTCTCTTAAGATCTTGGTAAATTATGGAGCACAATGAAGATTACTAAAAGAGAAACACAACTTATACTGAATGCTCCACACCTACAGCTTTAGACCCTCAATGTTCTTCAAGTTCAGCAGCTCCTTTTCTTGCCGTCTTTTCTCCAGTTTAAATGCTAGCTTGTTAGCTTTCTTTTCAACTCTTCGTTCCTGCACAAGAGGATCCCCAGGTTACATGTTTATACAGACAGACTCTGTCCACAAAAGATAACTTCTGCCATGCCCTCCCTCCCAGTGGCCCCACATCACAGGGCAGTTACCTTCCGCTCCTCTTTTATGGCTTGCTTTCTGGCTCTTTTATCCTCTTTGCTCTCACTTTTGGGCCGTGGCTGGGTTGACACCTTGGGTAGATCACTGCTATTGATCATCTGCATCCGTTCGACCTGCTTTGCGGTGAGTCCTTTTTTAGGTAAGACATTGAGAGGTATTCCCGTTTTAGAAGACAGGTGGATCTGTTTGGGCTGAAACAAAGGAAATAACATCACTAGAGTTATTTCCCATTCCTATTTAAAACAGCCCACTAATGACACACTGTTGTTGGTGCTTTTCCTAATAGCAATGCTAGCCATAAAGGAACAGAGTTACTGTGAGAAAAGGGCATTAAAGTTAAATTTTTACTTCTATGTGTGCATCCATGGGAGTGTATGCCATATGTATGGGTGCCTCTGGAGGCCACAAGAGGGTGTCAGATCCTTTGGAGCTGGAGTTCCCACCTGATGTGTGAGCTGTGAACCAAGCTGGGTTCTTGGAACCAGCAGGCAGTGATGTCAAGTATTGAGCTACCTCTCCAGCCCTGCAAACGGTATTCTAACAAGCTCCAGAAGTTAGCACTTACCTTTGGTTCACATCTGATGAGCTGTGGGTGGTTGTACAAATTGGAGTATGTACCTGGAAAAAAGATCATGTGTCACCTAAGTACACTGTAAGTTCCGCAAAAGCACCATGGGGCACACTACATTCCCAGTCTTGGTGTTTTTATGGTGCAAAAGCACATTAGAGCCTCTCTGAAAACCATTACGAAGTTATTTACAACTCAGCAGCAGAATAGTCATATTCTTTCTAAGCCTTTCTCACAAATTCCCTAAAAGTTTAACTTCTACTGAATTATATCTGCTTTCCCATACTCCCTTTAAATTGCTTTCACACTTTTAGCAGCTGAGCGGGCAGTAAGACACTTACTGCAGATGGACTCGCAATCCCACTTCTCTTTGGCTTCCTGAAGGACCATGGTGACCATGTCTTCCTTCTCAGACTCATCAAGCTCATTTGTTGGCAGATCTGGATCCTCAAAAGGCTCAAGAGTATTCAATTTGACACAACTATTTGTGCGTTTTATAAAATGAAAATAGGATAAACATTAAATTGCATGTCATTAAAAGAGCTCCAAAGACAAGAGCCATTTTAAATCCTATTCCTGTGCCTGTCATGTCCTGGTACATGTCCCCATACTCAGTCCCGCTCTACCCTTCCATGGGTTTTGCACATGTGCTCTGCTGATAGGCACATCAAATCTAGCTGCATCTGTACAAGGTTCTACATTACACAGATGGCAGATTCCCTAAGATGAACACCAGCTGCTCATCTATCTCTCCAAAGAATGCGCAGAATTCACTTAAAGCCCATGGTCCTTTCTGTGCTGTGGGAACTGCATGCTGTAGTGTTTCATGGAACAAGACCTGTTAGCAGATTTTAATACAGCACTGGCTCCTCTCAGATAAGAGGTGCTTTGATACAGACGCTGACGGAGCAAATACTTCATGGGTGAGCTCTGCTAATCAACTGACGAAAAGCTTATCTATTAGCCATAACTGTTCACTTTTCAGAACACCCACCATTTCAGAAAACAGAAGAAACCAGACACTTTAAGTTATAAGGATTCCTCAGCCTGAGGCCAGAAGCACCTTGTTACTTCCCAACGCCAGTGTCTGTTTGTACTTTATTTCCACCTAACCCTCAGCCATTGCACCATGATCTTACGTCAATTAGTTACAGACTTTGACATTTCCCCCAATAAGTCATTTGGAGGTAGGAAAATAAAGCAGCTAAAGAAGGAAGAATTGCATACTTCTCTGCTTTCTCCTTATAGTAGTCATTCAAAACTTCCTGCAACCGATTGCTGTCTACTTGAATGGAACCTTCCAGTTCTGCATTATCCAGAGCTCCAATTTCATCATCATCATATTGTTCATAAAACTTAAATACAAACACAACAAAAAAGATGTCATGAGAAACATATCATGAATTATTTATGTATTTTATTTTTGCTTTTTTTTTTTTTTTTTGGTTTTTTGAGACAGGGTTTCTCTGTGTAGCTTTGGAGTCTATCCTGGCACTCGCTCTTGAGACCAGGCTGGCCTCAAACTCACAGAGATCTGCCTGCCTCTGCCTCCCCAGTGCTGGGATTAGAGGCGTGCGCCACCAACGCCCGGCTGTATTTTATTTTTATTAACTTTACTCCTACATAGTATTTCAGCACAACTAAAAGCTCACAACTATCATTACTGTACCAGTAGAGAGGAAATAAATAATAAACGCAGTTATTCTACTCAGATTGGAAAATAAAATGCAATGCAGAGATCTCTGCCTCAGAAGACTTTAGAGATAATTTCACATCTCTCAGTGATGCAGACTAAAGGATCACACTTTTGAGGGAGCCTACCGTATAAACTCCATTCTTGTTCAGATGACGTTAGCACTGCTATGCTTTATATGGACACATGCATCCTGATGAGTGAGGATGTTTGTACTTAACAGGAAACAGGGAAACACCTTTGTAATATTGCAGCAAACTTGTACATCCCATACATCTTGAAAGCATTCCTTCATTTGCTCACTACTGACTGAAAAGCTTCAAGTCCTACTACATGCCAGACACTACTACTTTAGCGCTTTGGTTGGACACTTGAGAATCTCTGCCTGTGGAGAAATCCTATCCTACCCCAATACAAACCTGCAGGTACTGTACGTACATCAGTACATCAGAGATAGTGTCAGAAGGTAAAGAGCATAGGAGAGGATGGGTGAAGGGAATGTGCGTGGATAGTCCACACAGTACTGTAAAGCAGGAGCTGGCCTGTTACAGGAGTCAAAGCTGGCATACATCAGGTTTTAAAGGACACCACACTCTACTTGCTATTATCTGAAGAGCTAAAACAATGGAATTTTGTTGATGCTAAGCCAGCAAACTCTTAGGAAAATAGCAAAACTTTGCAGATTATGGTCAGATGCAAAATCACAACATCAAATCTCAGAAAGAGATGTCAGAATGTTCCATCAGTCAACCCTGGGGACCTATACAGACTCCTTGCAGAATCCACACCAGGGTGTGGCCCTGACCAATCTTAGTGGGCCACATAGTTTCTTATCCTGAAAGGTTTAACTCTGGTTCCAATCTCTCTTTTGCATGAGGAACTAGAACTCAGTGCCATTTCTCAGGGAACTCACCTTCTCAAACCGCTCATCATGTAGAGTCAGCTGTTCATTTCTCCTCATGATTGAGGAGGTCATGGAATACTCTGTGAAACGGCTTTTGGTTTCCTCTTCCCAAAACAGGTGTCTTTTGATGTCGTCTTGAGGTGACTCAGGGGCAGATCTGTCACCTCCATCTGACAGTGGGCCTGCAGAGCTACAGCCATCACTGCTCCCTTCCTCAATGTCCATGTCTTCCCACTCATTGTCATCTTCACTCTCAGATTCCCTAGAGCCAACAAGTCGTAAGTCATTTATCAAAAAAACTGGAAAGCCAACAGAGCACAGCAACTTCACACAAATCCTCTGGAGGAAGCCGCACTACAAATGGTATAGACTAATCTGGAACAGTAGGAAAAGCAACAACCCATCAGGATTCTGGGATTTAAGTCTACTTACTGACAGTATGTCTCAAATTTAGTTATTTTCTGCTCTAATACAGGTATCTTAGATCACATGTTCTCAAAACTAGAGCGTGGTTACCCTCCCAGTACAGAAGCACCACACATACGGCAAACCCATTGCCTCTTCTCCTGTCGGCTTATTTGCCCGGAGAATGAAGTCATCTTCAAGGAGGTTATCTGGGTCGTCAAAGTCAAAATCATCATCGAGAGCAGCAATAATGTCAGGATCCAAATCCAGTCGCGGTCCTAAAAGGAAAAGAAACACTGAGCAAAATGTATATCTTTAATCCCAGCATTAATCCCACGAGTTTAAGGTTGGACCCTAGCCTGGACTACAAAAGGCCACTGCTGCAAAGAAAAACCAGAAACCTCAGGTCCCCTGCACTCACCATGGGGGGGTGGGGGGGAGGCAACAAAGCACGGTCCATATTTACTTTATACAATGCTGACCTATTTATATACTTCAGATAAAAGACTAAAACATTTTAGGTACAGTTTAGGTAGATAGAATTAAAAAAAAAATCCATTCTTCGTCAATATCCAACAGTGAAAGCATTGCCTTCATCAATCTATTAAACTTCTTAGTAAAACTCAATTTTCACCTGCAGAAAGAATCCAGGTTTCAAATTCACTCATTAAAAAGTAACTATTTGGTGACTTTTACACTTTCACAAATTCCAACCCCAAAGTATAAATAAATCCCAGCTGGTTCCTTCAGCTATATAATCTTATTTAATAAAATGAACTCAAGAAAATGTTTCAAGTTCAAATCTTTCTTTAACAAGAGCTGCTTTGCTAATAAGGTCTGCTATGCTGCCCCTCCCTACTTCCCAGCTGCATTTTTTATTCATCCTTTCACGCCCTTCTGGTATGCTAAAATGTATACACTGTCTGGTATTTACATTCCCTCAGTCTTGTATGTAGTCACTTTCCTGTCTGGAATATCTTTCTTCCCAGCAGTCTCTCCTTCCTCCTGCCTTCCACTTAAGAAAGCAACTGGTCCCATTTACAGAACCCTTCTGAACAAACAACCACAAAAGCAACAAATCAACTTTGCTATTCTCTTGAAAGCTTTGCCCAGCTTCCCAAGGCCAGGTCTGGCGCCTCTTGCATTTGTTCTCCCGTGTCCTAAGTGTAATACCAATTTAGTATCTTTCCTACACACAGAAATTCTCTCAGGTTAGGTTTTCTTTTGGTTTAACTTGAGACTCTATTATATACTGACCACTCTGTAAAATAAATTACTGAGAAAATGATCTAAGGGCAAATGTTGGTTAACTTAGAAAAAATACTAAATACTACCTCTGTGGACCTTTGTTTTAACATACTATAGCAGTGGTACTGCAAATTTTCTTTAAAAATTATTTCTTCCATTTATATTGAGTGAATCAGACAATAGATTTCTTCTAGATACTTACATTGCATTGTTCAAAATTCTAAGAGTAATGATCATCCCTGTTATCTTTGTAAGAGAGCACATGAACATTAAACTTCCCTTACTAGATTCCCACAATTTTTCCCAAATGTGATCTATAAAGACATAAGAACTTGGTGCATAATATAAAATGCTGCTGGCCATACTCCCTCTTCATGTTCTACCATCCAAATTCTACATTCATCTTGATTATTTCAATAAACTCTTCACTGTGGATGGCAGAACACTATATCCTTGTGCTTCTTTTGGAAAAACACAAATTTACTCAAATGAAAACATAAAGAAATTAAATTATTTCCTGTCAGCTGTGAGCCTCAGCCTTTAATGGCTGAGCCACCGTGGACCACAACCACAATGACCAGCACAGCAAGATACACCACGGATGCAGTAGTGCATTTGTATTTTGGGGGTAATCAATAACCACCCAACTAGACTTAAGACACACTTTAAAAGGAGAAAGTTCATGCCTGGTGCTGTAAGCCTAGCCAACTACCTATGGCCCATGAGGTCACAGATCCTAGAGGAGAACCTACTCTGCCACATCCCTCAACCAGTGTAATCCCCAATTGCATTGTAAACATCCATTTTTATATCCACAGATACATGTAGCTTCCACCCCTCATCAAAGAAGACTCTTACTGCAGTAGACAAGAGACCAAAGTCACAACTGGACAAAACCACAACTGGTAGATCTACAACATAACCCTTACACCTAAGGCTCAAGAAACATCAAAGAAGGGGAGTGGAAAGATTTTAAGAGCCAGAAGTTCAAGATGTCTGTTACAAGGTAAGTGTAACAGTCTTGTTTACAATATGAGTTGCACCCTTGGAATCTTAACCATATTGTCACCTAAACAAGACCAAAACAAGGCAAAGAGAACACCAGTTGATATTCCAATGTATATGGGTGGACAGAGGAATTTCCCAAGGCCCTACCCCTAGCTAGTGAGAGAGGAGAACTGTTGTTCTCCAGGGACAACCTTCAATAGGTTGTCCAATCCCAAATGCTCATCCCTAAACACAGACAGGAACAACATTAAATGGAGCCAGCAGGCTGTATTTACACATACACACAGATGAGCAATAATTAAAACAGTCATGAAGTTGAGAGTGGGGGATGCAGGGGAAGAGAGTGTGGGGTGGAAGTCATATATATATGACACTCATATATGAAATTTTCCAATAACAAAATAAATATTAAAAAACAAAGTTAAACTCACCTGAAACTGGAGCTGCTTTGTTTAACAATCCAACATCCTCCTCAAACTCTGACGCAAACACCGATGAAGGCAACTTAATTCCAGTGCTCTTAAAAAGGGAATTACACAGCTATGAGGTTTATTTAGAGAATATTGCTCAGCCATTGCACTGGGTTAAAAAGTATCCTTTCAAAATTTATCAACTCAGCCTCAGGCTGAGACCATTCCTGAAATAAGGTTTGCTGTGGTTTATTCCCCATGCAACAATTCAATTTACTCATTACTCTGAAACACTAAGGTTGAGACCATATGGACCTCACTTAAAGGTTGATCAGCACCTCATGCTGATGATCTAGCCATTCATGAGGTGACAGCTTGAAAGTGGTCTGTCCTGAAGGTCAGTGGGATAGGTCTCTTACACAGACTTATGTGAGGACCTTTACTACCTTAGCCATTCTGTCAGCAAGAAGGCCACAACCATATACATTTCCTTGATCTTGAACATGAGGTCAGTGGTCAGCTTGCCCACACATAAAGGGGTGAATGAGATGTGGAGATGGAGGTAGACTGGAGTGGGGCACCCACAGTTCAAGGGACTCTGAAGACAGACTTTTGGCAAGCTTCAGAAGTAAAAGTTAGATGAGTGACGACATAATCTCTTTAAGTCTCCAAAAAGGAACTGGGCCTGCCATGAACTTATTTTTGGACTTCTGGCCTCCAGGTCTCTGCTGTAAATCACTGTTTGTAGTGACTTGTTACCAGTCTTAGGAGGCTGTTACCATTACATCCTTGTATCTCTCACCCATATTCCAGTACACATTTTCAACACTCTTGCACCACATTAACAGGGACCCTTTCAAATAGTTCAGACCATTCTTGTATACTATCACTTAATCTCCAAACTGTTAGCATGAACATTTCAGTGAAAAACAGACGCTCAAAAACTGAAACGCTAATACTAAGAGTATTCAGGATTTGGTCCACACTTTTTCTCTTCCCACTAGGGATGCCATCCCATGGTCCAGTGATGGCACAGCCTCTCTTGGAACCAGCTGTCTTGACTCCACTGGAGGTCACAAACCACCTACCTCACTGTCCCTACACACTCTTCTCTTGCCATTTCACTCCTTTGCTTTGGGCAACATCCTAATTTAACCTTCTTTTTCAATTTTATTTTATTGTTGCTGTTGACAGGGCCTCTCTGTTTAACAGCCCTGGCTGTCCTGGAACTCACTTTGTAGACCAATGCTGGCCTTGAACTCAGAGATCTGCCTACGCCCGCTTCCCGAGTATTGGGATTAAAGTTAAGATCCAGGCCTACCCCAGGCCTACTCAAGGTATCCAAATGTCTGTTATTTGGCAAGAGACCACAGGAGTCAAGGCTAGTTCCCCAATGTCATGCAATAATTCAATATAATTTAGTGAGCATGCACAAGCCTGTCACTGTGACCCAAAACACCACTGTAAGTCTTCTCCTGACTGAATGCTCTTCCCGAGTAGCACCACAGGTGATGGTGAGAAATATTTCAAAAAAAAGCTAAAATAAACAACCTATGATAAAAACATGCTATTTTGGAGAGTTTCTTATCACTTTGATAATTTCTGCAGATTACTGTGTTTAAAACTGATAGCAGAAACTGGCTCAGGATGATACTGAGGTTAAACACATGAACAGCTTTTACCACTGAAACAGACTGGCTTTATAGATTTATTTAAAGTAAGGGCTCACTATACAGCTTTGCTGGCTAGGAACTCAGTGTGTAGACCAGACTGCCCTGAACTCAGAGATCCTCTTGCCTCTGCCTCCTGGATGCTAAGATTGTAGGCATTTGCCACCACACCAACCATTTGTTATTTTTAAAACAATTCTGAATTGGGGCTTTCTGCTACTTTGAACAGAGTATTCAATATTTTGTCCTAATCAACAACAACAAAATTATTTTTAAAAATGGTTAAAACAATTAATATATTTTAAAAGACTTTTTAAAGGTTACAGTGATTCCTCTTCAAATTTTGGGACTAAAGAGAGATTTACTAAATTTTACCTATGGGATTTTTTTCAAGTCTTGAAAAGTAGTCACAGAATCAAATAAATGACAGTTCTAATATTGATCACTTTCTTTTTTTACATAGGCATGTTTAATAGTTGCAGTAATTCTCAACTGTCCCATGTGAAAATCAAGGTAAGCTCAGTCACATGAACACCTCTCTGTACCGCATAACATTCTTCCCTATGCTGTACTCATCCTTCCAATAAATTCAAATTTAAAAAGTGCTTTAGCCCCATTTTTACATGACACCTAAGCCATTTCTTTTTAGGTTACCATGTACTATATTGCAATATGGCATCTTCCCATATGTATATCAAAATGACACCTTTGTTTTTAAATAATTTTACTTTTCTGTCTGCATACACACAAATGAATGGCCCACTTAATAACCTTATTTTGTTAAAGAAAAATAGTGATTACTTTTACCCCAAACGAATTAAGGATTAAAAGCTAGCCTTTCTCTCTTCTGTCCAATTCATGCTGAGCAATGCTACAACTTGACTAAAACTTCTCTTCCCAGGAAAGAGAAAGCAGGGCAGCCAGTCCTCTTCTGCCTCAGTGGGGCACAAAAGGGAAAGAGCAGTAAGCACCCTGCTACTGACCTGACAGCTTAGGGGAGGGGCAAGAGAAGGTGGTTCTATGTTAGAGCTGTGGTGGTGCTCTATGGGGCCTTACAAGAGAAAAGAAATTGATGAGCTTTCTTCCGAACAATGCCCTGAAACCTGACTCCCTCATTTCCTCAGCAAGGCGCCCTGCCCTGGGTGAGTTAAGATCATGTCTTCTGAGGATTGAAATGCCCAAGCCTTGAGAGAATTAGGAAATCAGAAACAAAAGGAAACGAGCCCCCTACCACACCCCCATCTCTCCTCTTTGGTTGACAAACCCAATGAAAGTCTTTTGTTTCTTAAAGTGCTATGTGACTAAATAGACAAATGGCATGCAAAAGGGGCATTCTGAGCAGAAAAAGGCACTTGCATGAGTAACACTAGGTGCGTATGAACGTGCCTATTTGTATTTAAAGGGTCAAGTATAATACAGTGGCTTGCCCATTTGCTGAGAAGAGTAACAGTCATTTCATTACAACCTGTTCATGCTGTTCTATGATTACCTTAGAGCCTTCACAAAAGTGCTGAAGATCTAAAAATTTCACTACAACAGTTTATGATCACGAAGCAATGTTAGATTATAGAACGTCTACTGTTTTTCTTCTATGGAAAATGCTGCCTGACTCAAAGTTCTGAACCTGACAAAAAGCTGTTATCTGGACACCCACCGATCACCAGAAAAGATGTGGTCTATGTTTTCCTGAGGGTGTAGATATACACATAACTATACAATTTTAGGCAGAGACATGGCATATCTGTGTTCTTCATACTGACACCATTTACTGCCCCAAAGTCACTGACTTAAAAATGAGGGGTCTTTACGCAAGAAAGCTTACTGAACATACTAAGGTTTCTTCTTTCTCATCATTGCTGTTTGTGCTGAAGGCGGTACTGGGAATGAGCTCTGCGGGCCCAGATGGCTCCTTCAGGTGCTGCAGGTAGTCATAGTCATCGTCGAAGAACACCCCATACTTCCTCTGTTCTGCTCGTCTTTCTTCATCATTGACCTTGGGTAACAAGATGGAATGAGCTATCCTGCCATGGATAAGATCAGGATCCTTGCAAAGTGCACAACTTCAGGAGGCAGATGGCAAACAAATACCGGCTGACAGGAATCACACAATTAAGTCTTTTTTTTTTCAGATAGGGTTTCTCTGTGTAACAGACCAGGCTGGCCTTGAACTCACTGAGATCTGACTCCCAAATGCTGGGATTAAAGGTGTGTGCCACCACCGCCCACTTCACAAAACTAATTCTTGGCAAATACCAAAACTACAGAGCATCCAAAGTACTACATAAGATTAAAACAATGGAATGAAAACAAGCCAGGCCGAGGCAGAACATTTGAATCCATGAGTACAAGACAAGGCTGAACAAGGCAGCAAGACCTGTTTCAAAGGACAAAGAATGAAAACCATTCCTTCAATTACACAATCCTGAACAATTCCTGGTAAATAACACATACTCAAAACTGTAGTTGGAAGGTTACAAGAAAAGATTTGGGGACATGGAGAATAAGCATAGTTTCTTGTATTTATAAGCAAAGAAAGCTTTTTGGTGGTCCATGGGAGTGGGGTATTGTGGCTTTAAAGAAAAGCTAAACCAAGGCCAATGCCCCCGAATATTTAAAACACTTTACTTTTTATAATGAGTGTTTTGACTGCATGTACACACACATAGGACAGAAAAAGGCATTAGATAATCTTGCAAGGATTGTTACAGATGGTTGTGAATCTTCATATGGGTGCTGGGAACCGAACCTGGGTCCTCTGCAAGAATAGCAAGTGCTTTTAAGCACTGGACCATCTCTCCTGCATCCTTCAATACTTTTACATTATCTATCTTCAACAAGTGTAAGCTAATATAAACCATCCTTTTCAAGCTCCCCTAGGATTTCCAAAGCTAATTCAAGCACTTAGATGTTTTGTATTTCAAGAGATGAGTGCCCAGGAAGCAAAAATGCAAACTGAAGACTACTGAAGCATGGCAGAATCCCAAGAGAAAGCTAAGAGTGAACATATGGCCCTACCCCAAATAATACTACGAAGCATTGTAGGTTGTGGTAATATTCTTTAACATCTCTTTATTTAATAATCTCAAAGATGCTTTATCCTCTTAATCAAAATAAATACGTGATATCAAATGTCAGCACATAGACAGGAAACTGAGTCACAGCTCATTTCTTAAGAGGACCAGGGTTTGTCAGCTGATTATTAAAATCTCATAGGGAATGGGGGTATAGTTGAAGAGTAAACTTTAATTCACTTAAACACTTAGTGGCTACAGGGCCGGACCTACCTTCTGGGTGGGCAACAGTACCCTCTGGGGGGCAGTTTCATCTGCTGCTAAAGGATCGCGCTGGCTCCGGTGGACCAAGTGGAAAGAGACAGCTTTCTTCTTCTCTATAAAGGGCTTTTTCTTTCTGTGAGGCTACAAAATAATCAGGTCAACAAAACAGAATCCCTGCACAGTGAACAACTCCACAACTGCATGAACCTTCAGTAAGTGTGTAGAGGGTGAACAGATTTTTCAAATCTGTGTATCTAGGCCATGCAACAGTCCCAGTGTTCTGCAGAGACCATATTTACCTTCTCTGGAAAACACTGGTTGGGCACCTACTCTGTGACACACCTGTTCAAAGCAGCTGGGATATGGAAGTGGGGCAGTCTGAGAAACTGTCTATCCTTAGCAAGTAAATCAACAGGACAATAACCTTCTTGAAGAAAAATCAAACATGGTGAAGTGCAAATGCCTTAAGTCCTTTATGATGGGTGCTCTGGGAAGGTCCCTCCCTGAAAAGTTGAGCCAACAAGACAAGGAGGACCTGCCACAAGAAAATGTAGAGGAGACAGACATTTCATCGACTAACCAGCAAACAAAAGCAGGTCACAGGCAAGTAATGTTTAGACCCATTACTCCTTGATACACTCTTAATTTACTCTTCAACACTGAGCTTTCAAATCCAGATGCCAACCACGTGACCTATGGAACCCGGAAGCAGAGTGCGGAGCTGCTATAAATGTCACAGGGACTAAGTTAATGCCGGGGTTTTTGCAAAAAGGAAACCATTTCGTCTCCTTCCAAAGTGCACCCAAGGTGATGAAGGTGACAGGTCTCGGGGCACCAAGCCGCGCAGCCAGTGGCCACGCCAGGCGCCGGGAACTGCGAACCCAGACATAGCCGGAAGCCGCCGGCTCCCGCTGGGACCACCGCGGCTTTCTCACCATGACGGAGCAGGCACTCGCTCTCCGGAACCGCGGAAGCCGATCGGCAGCTCACCGGTGTCTCCCGTTCGCGCCACACGTGGGTACACAGGTCCGGGACAGCACGTCACACCACGGCGTGGAAATGGGCCAATCGCTGAGCAGCTGCCGGCCGGCAGCCGGAAGTTACGTAGCACTCGTCGGCTCCAACGATCGCGGGAACATCCGGGAGGCGGGGCTAGCTGGATTCCCCGAGAGGGCGGGGCTTCCCTGGCAGAAGTTCTCCTAGTGAGGGAAGGGAGTAAGTAGCCCAGCTAACCTGAATTCTACCTGAGGGCGAACTTCAGGTCCGAACACCGGGAGGGTGAATGAAAAGCCATCACTGAAGATATTCCTTACCTATTTATTACCTGCTGAGAACAAAACACAACCAAACCAACTCTGTACAGGTTCACAGAAGGGAAGTGGCCGCCTCCCTGACTTTTTGAACTAGGGGCAAGAGGTTGCCTAGTAACGTGCAGCCAAGGTCTAGATCTAATAAGCAGAGGCAGAAGTCATCAGGGTCTTTATTTTACACCTCTTGATGAACTACCTCCAACTGTACCTTTACTACAGTCCCTAAGACCATTGGTTTTCAGGGCATCTGACGTACTAAAACGCATTCTGAAGCTCTGATGGTTGCATGTTTTCTAAGATGAAAACTAATAATCCCAAGGTGGGTCTTTTTGAGACGCTGTCTCATGGAGCACAGCCTCTGGTCCAACTATGGATCCTCCTACCTCCACCACACTAATGCTGGGCATGTAATGAGAACTGAACCTATCCAGGGCTTCATGCAAGCTAGGTGAGTCCTCTACCAGGTGATCTATGACTACATCTCCATTCCCCAAGTTGTCGCTCACATATTTTATGGAGGCTTAAGAAAATGGGCTTATAGGTATAATTAATTTCTTAAGAAGAGTTCCATCAGGTGCTGGAGAAAAGAGTGGGGAAATAATTCAAAGTTCCAACAGTCGACGTTTTCTCAAATTTGTGTTTTTCTTTCCCAGTTTCTGGTGGCTTTTTCAATGTCTGAGTTCTGTCGGAATGCCTCTATAATTATAGGCAAAATCCTTTCACCCTAAATGTTTGTGGACTACGTTCTTTTTCTATAAGAAAAATAACAAATGGTTTAGGTTAGGACCACAAAAATTTGTCAGGAGAAATGCTTTGTAAAGCAAGATCTGCCTGTCTCTGCGTCCCAAGTGCTGGGATTAAAGGCGTGCCGCCACCACCAGGCCATTTAACATACTTTTAGGCTAGATATCCATGATTATTTGTTATTTGAAAGTAAGATCCACGAGGGAACCATTTGTTTCATTTGAATCTGTTTTATTTACTACTATATCTACTTCTTGGTATGTATACCCAATAAACATTTGTTTATATGAATAATTAATGATATGTCATTTTACCTGCCTAACCTATTTCTCACACTATGACACTGCAAGAGAGGTGCTATTATGGTCATTTTACTGCCAAGCAAAGTTCCCAGAAGAAAAGGCCAGACTCGTGTTGAGGATTCTACAAGGCTGAATGACCAATTAGAATTTTATGTTTGTGAAAAGTGGGAATATTGCAGCCCTAGAATCAGGTTATCTTGGCCTTCTTTAGTCCCCATAGTAGACACTCATTGTCTCCTCTGTGGCTGACCTAGCCACCAATTGACTGTTAGGTGAAGGATTTGACATCATTCTAGCAGACCACTGTTTCCACCATTCCCAAAGCTAAGCCATCAGTGAGCATGAGGAACCACAACAGGGTGTTCCCAGAGTTGCTACTGAAACCTATCTGCCTGTGCTACCCATGAAAGTATTTGGCAAATGCATTTTTATTATTATTACTATTATTATTATTTATTGGGTTTTCAATACAGGGTTTCTCTATGTATCTCTGGCTGACCTGGAACTTACTTTTAGATCAGGCTGGCCTCAAACTCACAGAAATCCACCTGCCTCTGCCTCTTGAGTGTGAGGAACATGCCTGACTCCATTTTAAAGGCAGGAGCCATTATGCTGTATTTTTAAAAATAAGTTTCTGTTTACTGTGAGAGTTTAGTGGCTCAGTTTCCTGGAACCTGACCTTCCCCAACCCATGATCTTGATTTGTTTTTGAGAATACCCTGACCCAGCTGCCCTCCTGACCTTCCCTGACCCCTCCTAATCACATGGTGGGTAATCACATGATGTTTTAAAAAGTTTTTTTTGTATTTCCTTATGGTCCCATTGTCTCCCTTCTGTAAAACAACTTGTGCTTTTACTCCTTAAAGGGGGCCCAGGAGATGGATTCCGGGCTGCTCTCTTTAACCCGACTTAGGAAGCAGTTGCTGGCCAGCTCTTGGGCACACCCCAATAAAAATCAAGCTTGCTTCAAATTTGACTCAAGTGTGGTACTAGTTTAATTCTTCCTGTTGTAATTAATAAGTGCTAGGATTAGATTTATGTTTCTTAAAAAGAAACAAAAACAGGTAGTAGAAGTCCGTGTGTCCACTCCCACTGTTAATCAGGGCAATCAGGATCTGTGTTCCTGGGTGTAGCACTCATATTTGGTGTAACATTGAACTCTTTCCCCTTAGGGGTGAGAGATACATTTTCACCAGCATTGTAAGTACTAGAAAAGATGGTATCAAATAAGTGTCTCTTTATAGTAAACATAACTAATAGGTGGAAATTTTGAGATGTAAGTTTGAAGAGCCCTACTAGAATCTGGGTTTCTAAACCATATTAATTAAAAAAACTAATAATATACTCATTTTATTACTTATTGCTCTAATGCAAACAATAAACACACAGCAAAGTGCTTTCTATTTATTATGCCATTTAATTCCTTCTGCAGGCCCATGAAGCCCAACTGGATAATACTAAACTAATCTCAATGATATACACCCATCATTCAGAACACTGAAGTTACTGATCCAAGGTAGCAGAATTCGTGGAAAAGCATAGAAATGTCTACCATCAGGCTAGTTTAGGAAGGTCATACTTTTACCCATTTATTTTTATTTTTATTTTTATTTTTATTTGCTGTTCTCTCAATGACAGTCAACCAGCATATTCTGGTTTTTTTCTTTCTAAATTTCCATATGTATAGTTTCATTACTCAGTCTATTACATTGTTCATTTTTAAACACTCTTCAAGTCTCCTCCCTAGTTACTGTGTACATTCTAGCCTCAGGATAAAGTCACTCTTGGATGGTGATTGAGATTTCATCTCATTTTAACATCCTGTTGTTTTTCCAACTCCTCCTCATGTCCCAGTCCTGTCAAACTGTTAGTTGGTCCCCAAAGCACCTGGGTGAGATGGGCTCTTTCCTGCCTGTCTAAAAGGATCTCCTCCCCTCCCTATTCCTTAAGCCTTAGCATTCTGGTCCCAGGCTGGAGTTGCCCCAAGATGGATGGCAAGGGAATTCTTGAAGGGGATTTGCCAAACCATTTGGAGATGAGGTCAGTTGATATTCCAAAGAAAGAAAGAAGCAGTAAATACTAGGGGGATCAGTTCAAAGTCCATATGAGGATTTAAGAAATGTGGCTCAGAGCCATGGCAAATTTCTATGGTTGAGCAACATATTTTCATATTTCCCCGCTTTGGGAAATAACCTACAAAGCTTTATCAGTGTCTGGAAATGTTCAAGGCTCCATCTTAGGTTCAATCCTACAGGGAAAAAAACACATGCAGCTGGCCAGGTCATGGAACAGTCAAGGTTCTGTGTGTTTCTGTTAGCACGCAGACAGTTCTGGGGGCCTCTCCAGCTCGCTCTCTAGAACACTTGTGTATATCCTTCAAAAGGAGGGACCTTCCTGAATGCCTTCACTGTGTTTATTGATTACACTACCCTGCTCAGTTCTCTTGACCTGGAAGTCTCCTTATTTCCCTTTGTCTCTATAGCCGGACTGCAGTAACGAACTTATGGTGCCCTCCCTTAGCCAGACATAGTAACCTACTGGGCACCCTCCCTACATAGTAAAGGCTTTGTACTGCTTGCCCCACTCAAAGCTATTCACATATATTTATTCATTAAATTCTCATAAATGTGATTGAAATAATATACCATTATCTTTAAAAACATATTTGGGGAAAGAGAGATAGCTCAGCAGATAAAGCACTTGCCTCCCAGCCTCATGGCTTGAGTTCCATTCCCAGGACCCACACGGTGGACTGACTCCTGAAAGTTGTCCTGTGATCACCACCACATACGTGAGGGGGGACACGTGCACCCGTTCACATACACGTTCAGATACAAATAAATGATAAATATAAAAAATGATTTGAAGTCAAGGAACATAAAGTTTAGTGATTTTTTTTTTGTTGTTGTTCCAGGGCACAAAGACAGTCCCTGAAGAATGCAGAGTGTGAACTCAGGTGTAGGTCCTGGCTCAGTGAAGTCCTTAGTTACCACAGTACATTCTATTTCAAAAATAATTTTCTGTTATTTTAATAGGGAATTATTATTATTGTAATATTTATTTTTAGCAAAGTGCCCATCAATTGATTTGGGGATAATGATATTAAATCCAAATCAGACTTTGACCTTCTTATTAGTATTCTGTATTTAAGCATATCTATTTTAAAATTGGATAAACAGAATTTGTGGTTTTGTCTAGGCTCCGGAAAGTTGTTTTTCCCCATGTGAAACTAATTCACCCATTGACAGTGTGTTTATCATGCTAGCCTCAGTTCTACGTCCTCAGTGTTTCCCCTACTTAGAAAATTTGCCACAGTCAGGAATCCCAGGGCAGCAGGAAACCAATGTACACAAAAATAGAGAATTATAACTTGGGATAGGCAAACCAAATAGAATCTGAAACAGTAACTCCAGGAGTTATAAATGACATGCTTGACAATATTGACAGTGCTTATGGAGGTAGTTCATTTATAAGAAGAGAAAATGTGTCCAAGACTTACACTGAAGTACTGCTTGTAACAGAGAAAAACAACTAAAAACCAGACAGTAAAGAATTAATTGAAGAAAAGTTTTTAAGACTGCTGCTAGCAGTTATTCCTGAAGAGCTGGGTGGGGAGTGCATGGGAATTTCAGTGGCCACTATAGACCTGTCTTCATTGTGTGTGTCTTTTTATTGAGAGTTGTAGTGGTTTGAAAGAAAATGGCCCCCAAAGAGAGTGACTCTATTAGGAGGTGTG